GAGGCTGGGGGAATGTTGTCCATGGGGTCATGATGGGTTGGGCATGACTTTGCGATTGAACACACACACACACAAAACAAATGTAGGCCCAAACCATGCCAGTGGTTTCTCACCTGCAATCCAGAAACAGATTGTGCAGTATGGACTTCTCTGTGCTCTGTATTATGCCCATTCGCCCTAAGCAAGCATCAGCAGCCCAGAGCAGAGCTAGTGAGCGGACCAAGAAGGTCCAGGCTCAGGCCTCACATCGCCTCCAAACCACAGGCTTCCATGTAAGCTCAGCTGTTGAAAAAACAAATTTGTTACCTATCCTGAATGTTTAAGATGGCTTGAGCATAAACATGAACAGACAGATACTTTCTGCAGCTGGTAGAATTTATCCCGTTTCCTGATCCCTATCAGAAATAAGTTCCTGGCTTATCAAGTGTTGAACCCCTGCCTCTACTTAGAGAATTGGCGCCCTGCCATAAAATTACCTAAGTGCCTTTAAGCAACTCTTGCTGTCGTCTGAGTAATAAAAATGGACACAAACAACAGGGAAGATTCGGTCCAGTTCCTGGCTTAGTATCGTTTATGCATAATGTTCACTGAACAGTGCCAAATCTTAAGTGCTGAAGTTTGTCCAAAACCACGATTCCCTAACTAAGTTTAAGCTTGAGATACCTGCCAAATGGCATATTTGGTATTGAAGGAATGCACTCAGAGACAGTTATGTCTCTGCTCCATTTAAAAGGTCTATGTCACACAGGGAATCTGAAAATTTAACAGAAGCATCTTAAACACTTTATAAACCATCCAATAGTTAGATAGGAGACTCTCCGCTTTCACAGATTATGTTATAGCTCCACCTGGCAGGAAATATGGGAATGATCTAGTTATTGTGAGAAGCTTTAGGCTAAAATTCTGGAACTGATCTAATCCACTGGGACCACAGATAAGAGGTCCACACTTAGTTGAAAAGTTTGCTTAAAGGGATGGTATTCATCAGCTGGATGGAGCAAGCTTTCTTGGTGTAGCATGTGCTTTGTGTACTTCTAATGAGATGTCAAAGAGCAACAGATATTTCAAATGAAGTCCCAGTTAATTTTCATCCTAAAACACTATGTTTAGTTATATTTGAGAGCCTAATCTAAATCCTGTTGTGACACCACTGGCCTATGAAACCAATCCTTCAGCCTTAATTATGCATCTGGGAAATGGGAATATTAAAGGATGATGCTTTCTTTATATGTACCAGCTTCAGTTCTGTTTTCTGGAACTGGAGTGTCTGTCCCTTCAGCCCACTAGCCAGAGCTGCAAATGCTGTGCCTAATTTTCCTAGAAGGAGTTGCTTTTGTCATTCTGCAGGAACTTTGTCCAAAAGCAAAAAGCAGCCCAGTGATTGGACAAGGCACTTTCTTGCTGTTCAACTGATATTCCCCACAGTCATCTTTTTTTTAAAGCAATGCTATATTGTTTGTGCTCTGTAATCCTTGTTCTTTCTTTTTTCTTCCAAAGATGCATTACTTAAAATCAGACTGTCAATTAAGCATCGTCAACTTGCTTCAGCCACCAAGAACAATTTGTCATTTGGATATTTTGTCAGTTTAGCTGTATGCCTATATTTTGTATACATCCATTTCAATGGCTGATATAAATAAATGTCCATCTGTTTTACTTCTCCTGAATTCAGTTAAAAATGAAAAAAAGCTATAGCTTCAAGCCCCCACTGCACATTTGAGACAAAGTAGATTGCATAGCACTGATCTACTTTAAAGGTTTAACATCGATTATAGCTGCAGAAATAGATTAACTACTTGGTAAAAGAAGGCACACCGAATCTAGTTGCTGCCGCGTGCAGTTGTCTCTAGCAGGGTTTTCATTCCTTTCCTTTCCTTTCCTTTCCTTTCCTTTCCTTTCCTTTCCTTTGTTTTCCAGTGACAATGATGCAAGTGATAAATAGGATCACAACTCTCTTTTATTCATTTGACCCTTATACCATGGACTCAGCATCCCCTTTTAATTCTTCTTCTTGCATCATCATCATCTTCATCATGGCCTGTGGCCAAATGAGATGAAAGAAAACAAACTCCGCATTCTTTTATATACTGGGTGCAGTCCCTTCCTATTATTGGATTTTATGATATGCATTGCTGCAGCATCTGCTGGATCTCTTCTGCTGTAGACAAATTTTATGTCACTCAAGAGCCAACATAACAGGGCTTAGCACAATGTTTTAATATTTTGCAGGAGGGTAACCAGTGTGGCTGCAGAAATAACCAAGCATCTCGTGGCAATTTGAAAACTAACACATTTATTATGGCATAAACTTTCATAGCCTAGAGTCCACTTCATGAGGACATTGTTGCTTTTCCTATACTAGCCACAAGAGGGCAGTGTGTATTAACGACTGAAAAAATAGTTAACAAGCATGTTGGAGACCAGCACTGAGTACATACAGACCCAGTGGGCAGTTCGCTTATATTTTAGCAACCTGGTGCTAAATGTTTTCTACCCACAAAATCAGAATGAGATGCTGACAGAATACCAGAATACTACTATGGCTGGCAGAATTCCTTGCAATGCATGGATAGTTTGATTAATGCTAGTGAAACCTTTGCATTGTTTTTAGGTTTTCCTAGTGATAGTGGGAGCTGTATGAGGCTAACACACTCAATTTAGGAGCATTCTTTTTCTTGTTGGTGAACATCCCAAATGGCTTGTAACAATCAAGCAAATGAAATGCTACATCCTTTCAAAGGATGCAAGCAAAGATGTTGGATGCTTTAATTTTTGAATGCTCTATTTCCATTTCCCAGTGCCTAGTCTGGATGGCCTGCTGACCTGCAATTTTCCAACAGTTTTACTTGGAAAAATATTTCTTGTGAGTGAAGTGGGCAACCATATGGCAAATGCACTGATATTTCCCAGGTTGGCTTCCCAACCCTTTCAGCTGGTCAGGTAAATGCAAGTTGTCACCACATGAGGGTGCAACTGTAAGGGCCATGCAGAGCTGCAAAACCAAGTGAGGTGATATCATTATCTTCTCATGATCTTAGTGTAATGCACGGGAAGGGAAAGTAGGACTGCAGCACATCACTTTCCCAGGACAAGGCAGACTTGTGAATGAACACATAAGAAATGGACGCAGAATGGAAATAAACTCATGTGTCCATTCCTAAGTCCAGCAGTGAGAATGCACTTTTCAGTTTCTTAATAGGTCTGTTCTTTATTTCAGTTGTGTGTCTTCTATCCATTTTCTATTGTTTTCTCCGTATTTCTCAGTCTAATGACTTTATTATTAGAAGATCTTTTTACAAAGGTCAGGCATGTTAGTCTATTGCAGCAGATGCAACTAAAAGTCACTTTAAAATTAAATTATCCTGGTATACACTTGTGGATTGCAGTCCATTTCATCAGATACATAGTGCATTGCTGAAACTTTCCTGGGGAGGTGTGGATTGCAAAGGGTTCCATCAAGAGGAAAGAGAAATCATTCTGATCTTCACACTAGCCCCAGTATCACAAAAAGTAATAGTATAAACATCTTGACACCAGGTAATGGAATGTTGTCAGAGACAAGAAGGGAGCTCACAGGGTACTGGAATAAATGATACAGGTTTTCTAACCGCCATGATACTTGTCCTTGAGGTGCCCTTAGTTATGTGGTAGGGTCATGTAGCATGCTTGGCCGGTTGGGAGAGGTGTCAGGATAAACATGTAATGCACAATAATGTGTTATTGACCCATCTAGTTCCTGGCAGTTTCTGTTTTCAGCAGCAAGTGTTTTGTAAAAGCCACTGTTCATACTATCACTGTCATTGTGTGCATCATGCATTTAATTTCCTTTTGACCTTTACTATTCTGCTCCTCACCCCAAACCACCCTCCAGAAAATGTACTGTATTTAGGGATATGCACCCACGTAAAACTCAAGACATTCAAAGTCCTCCAAATTTTGCCTCTAACTTTGCTCCATTTCATGTCTGTGTCAGATTGCAATCTTTATTTTTTCCCTTTCATTCTTTTTTGTATGCATGCTTTTCCCATTGATTAAAGCATGTTTGTGTCCAGTTTTGAAAAGTATGCATGTATATTTTCAAAGGTATGTATGTAATCAAATACTTTTTTCTCTTTTAGTCTGCAAATCACATTGCAATCTTGGAAATGTTCAGACTTGGGCCACAATTTATTTTGACACCATGTTCTATTTGGGAAGTGAGAATTCAGTAAATGCTGAATGTAAAAGATACTGGAAGGAATTTCATGTGAGTGCCAGTGTGGTGTGCTGGTCTGAGTATTGGACTGGGACCTGGAAGTCTTGGAATCTAGTCCTACTTGGCTATGAAATTCCCTGGGTGATTTTTGGCTAGTCCCTCACTCTGAGCCTGACATACCTCATAGAGTTGTTATTGTGAGGATAAAACAGAGCAATATAAACCACCTTGAGTCCTTCACAAGAAGAAAAAGGGAGATTATAAATGTAACAGGTCAAGAAAGAGAAGGAGAAGCTGAAACTCTCATTAATACTGATTGCATCTGATGAAGTAGGCTCTAGTCCATGAAAGGTCATGCCAGAGTACATATGTTAGTCTGTACGATGCCACAAGATTCTGTTGTTTTAAAAAGGGAGCCTCCTGAAAAAGAGTGCATAATGAAAATGATGGTTGGCAGAACCCGCCTTAAATGGGACCATGGTTTAATCAACCATTTCGCTAATGTGGTGCTCAACAGATATTTAGAATTAGAATTCCCACCAGCACCATCTAGCATGACTGATGATCAGGGCTCTTGGAGGTCTCCAGGTTGGGAAAAACAGTTTATTCACAATCGTTGTGACCCAGCACTTGACATCAATGCCCCAGAAAGGTGGGTGCTGAATTTTGCAAAGTGTCTCTACTGGCTTGTTTGAAGACTTTTTTTGCACACTATAGGAAACCAGCCAAATAAAAGTTTTACAAGTCTGCATACGGCAAAGATGGACAACTAACATGACTCTTCTCTTGTGTCTTTATTGTTCAGTGTCCCAGCAAAACATACGACCCGCTGATCAAGTCTACCAGAGATTTCCCTGATGATGTCATTAGCTTCATCAGGCGCCACCCAGTGATGCACAAATCAGTCTACCCCGTGACTGGAGCCCCTGTCTTTACTCAAATCAATGTCGACTACAGGCTGACTCAAATTGTGGTGGATCGTGTCATGGCTGAAGATGGCCAGTATGATGTCATGTTCCTAGGCACAGGTAAGCCTGAAGGGTAGAGATGCACATCATTTGTTACGTTGTTCACATTTTTGTCATCTTGCAAGGAGAGCTTGATGCTAGCTTGGGCTGTGATCTGAAAGACTTTTGATTGAAGAAGATGCTAGCCTCCCACCCAAATTCCTGGCCACAAGGGCAAGAAAGCCACACTCCAGGGCACCTTGTTTTCCAGAGTACAGACCCAATCCAACTGGCATACAACACAGCACCTGTTATGTTGGGAATGAATGGGTACAACCAGGAAACCCCCGATCTGGCTTTGGAGAGAGACATATCCTTGGCACCCGCATTACCATGTTGCAGACCCAGGCCCAGTGGTGCAATGGGAAGCATTTAGAGGATCTGAAATGGGCCCAAATCAATGCCATGAGGTGGTTTCCAGTTACAATCACCCCCTCCCACCAAGGGAACATCTGTATGTCCACTGCAAATAGCATGACAGACTTCCTGTAAATTCGGAACCTATTCATGTTTCTGCTGAAAATCTCACCTTTCTGTGTATCATGTCATCTGCTAACAACTATATACAGTCAAGGCATTTAGCCATGGTTTATCTTTTTTTTTAACCCACCTGGTTATGGTATCCTGGCTTGAAGTGAGTTTGCAACCCATAATAGGAATAGAACATTGCACCTCTCCAGTGCAAAAGTGTGGCTAAATCACTTTCCTTTCCATTCCAGTCTCTTTGTTTGCAAAGTGAAAAGCAGGCCATTCTAGGGATAGGGCTCAGCTCAACAAGCTAAGGTGAGATTTAGAGTTAAGGCAGCAAACCATGATGGCTAAGCACTAGGTCTGCACCAGGCCCATATCTGAAGCAGCTCAGCAGTGATTCTTTTTGCCACAATAGCTGGCTGCGTGTTGTATAGCAAAATGTGGTCAGTAGGTGGCAGTCCAGAATTTCCTCACAAGAAAAGAGGACTGTATCTAAATTGTTTAAAAGGATGGCATGGCATATGCAATCATTAAAGAAATGCAAAACCTGTCCTGTGCAAAGGCAAGGAGCGAGAAGCAGTGTAGTGCAGTGTAGTGGTTAACGTTAGACCCAAGGCTCAAATAATGACTCAGCATGAAGCCCACAGAGAAAAACTTGGTCTAGTCATAATTCCTCTGCCCCTTTTGAATCACAAGCTAGCAATGAACATAAAATGGATGTGGCCCTGGAATCATTGTTAGAAGAATCAGGAATCATTGTTACAAGGATCAAAGGAAGCATCTTTCTTTAATGAAGGGACACAAGAAGATTGTATTTGGGAAGCTAATTGGAATTGCAAATGTGTCCGTGCATTCTGGATGATACCTGTCCTGTGTTTCTGCAAGCATTGCCAGTTCCAAAATCTTATTCATTGGCTTGTTTATATATTTCATTTATTTCTTCCATTGTGGAGCTCAGGCTGGTGCCAAGTGGTCTCCCTTCCAGTCACTGACCAGGCCCAGACCTGCTTAGTTGCAATATGGTGACTGCCTCATGTTCCTTCATATCATACTTGGGGATCCCATGCCTGGGTTTCTTAACACTGAAGAGGCACAAGGCAGCCATTTTTAGGCACATGGTGCCATAAGTGCCTGTTTCCAGAGTGGGAATCACCAGTGTACCACTATGAGTATGTGCCACTATGAGTTGGTGTCCCAAACAGGTAGCAAGATGCAAATACTATTGTCAGATTGTAACTATTGTCATTAAACAGGAGTCAGGAACCAACTGTACTTCAAGCTGCAGGTGGGGCTTCACATGTCAAAAATTCCCTAGAAAGTTTTATAGAAGGAAGAAGATTCTAGCTTTGTTCTGGCTTCTGCTTTTCTCCATGAGAAGATTCACACATTTATACATGAAGGAACACTTAGTTCAAGACCCAGTCCCATGCTGCCACCGAAAGCCTGGACAAGACATGGCTTCTTCGGTTAGACATTTGGGAAACTCCTCTAAGGTCAGAGAAAGCACTCTGACCTCAGAAGAGGGATGCAGAAACCTGTCCCCAGACCTCTGCCCCTGTAGCCGGCATGGGAAGAAACATACCAGCTGCTTCTCCAGGGTCAGAAAAGTGAACTTGGAAGAGGAGGAAAGCAGACTTCTGAGGGGTCCTGACCAGCAAGAACAGGATGCTACTTACCTTGAAGTTTCTCCAGCTGCTCTCCTTCTCCCCTCCCTGCTCCTTGGACTATGTTATTATATTCAATAAGATGTTTCTTCCAGTCCTGTTTTGCAGTTACTCAATTCCAGAACCTTTTGTTTGTTTAATCACTGCCATACGCATGTCCCATGTACAATCTTGGAATACAACATATAGTCATGGGGGCCATATACTGAAATTAACCTGGAACAATTGATTACAGTGCCGTTGAACTGCATGCATTATGCGTCAGTGTGCATAATATTTGTACAGCAAAGCGTACTTCCTTCTCAGTGAAATTCAGAGTGTGAGTGGGAAGCAGGCTCAGTGGCCATGTTCAGAAGCACACTAAAAACCTTCAAGCCATGACCTCTCGGGGGAACTGATATAAATGTGGGTCTACTGCCATCTTTGTACTCAGCTTTGTAATGTCCTGTGGGTTAAGAGCCCCTCTTCCACAGATGGACAAATCAGAGTGAGAGGAAATCATTTGTCAAAGCCTTATTCAATGAATCTGGAACTAGTCTGGGGTCATTTGACTCCATCCTGTTAGGGATGTGATTTGATGAAATTTGTGCGAACACAAATCATGGTGAAATTCTCATAGATCCCCAAGGAAAGGGATCTGGAGAAAGGGAAAGTGGTGCATGGACTGATGGCATCACAGCATCCCACTCTGTGAGACAAATCAACACAATTTTGCTGTTTCAGCTCTGGATTGGGCATCATATCTGAAGGAGCAGGAAAATATTAATACAAAATGTTAAGACTGTTTTCCATGTGCTCAAACAGAGCCAATGTTTCCTCAGCAGTGCCCTTTCCTTTCAGATATAGGAACAGTACTGAAAGTTTTGAGCATAACCAAGGAAAAGTGGGACATGGAGGAAGTGGTGCTGGAAGAGCTACAAATATTCAAGGTAAGATTCGGCAACACCTGAGTACAGTTTTAAGAAAGTAAAACTTGATCGGTTTCCATCTGTGAACATTACTTTCAAACAAAAAATATGGATCGGTATGTTGAGAAATGTGAGTGTGTGAGACAGACAATGCAAAACTCCCAGAACAATCAGTCACTCTCAATTTTTTAAAAGGTTTTTTTTGTTAAGTTTTTAGGATTTCCTTGAACTTCAGTAAATATTATGTAGGTTCTGCATTAAGGTAAACCCAAACCCAGATACTTGTAACCAATTGTCTCTGAAATGTGCATGACATTTGAAGGTGAAGCTAAAATTTCAGGTGAATTAAGAAGTTTCTGCTTGGTTCCATGGATAGCAGTTTCAAGGGAAAACAGAATAATTTTATCCAACTTATAGCAATTCTCATGGTAGCAGTGGAGGTGGTGGCAGACAGCCCAAATAGCAATATTTGATCAGATCTGCATTATGATGTAATGAGGTACTTTGTTTACCATACATTTCTGTCGCAAGCCTTAAAAAGAGAGCTTTGAAATCAGGTGAAATGCCTTTGGCCTCTTCCTCTGTGAAAAGAAAAGAAAAAAAAAAGAAAAAGGTTTTATCCAAGTAATTCTTCCCATGTATTTTGATGAAAGGGATAGAATGCTCCTTGTTTTAAAGCTCTCGAAGTCATATTTTTGCTGCTATGGACACCAATGATAAATATCACTTTGAAAATACCAAGAGTGCTCAACAGGCTGCCAAGTAATTTGGAATTTCCAAGCGTGTACCAATTTGCTGCATATTTGCAACATCACGTCAAAAGGAAAGGCGCCATATCAGATTTAATACCGAACAGAGCCATTAGCTCAGCAGATGTTCTTCCACATTACACATTTTACCTCGTTTTTTGTACAGGGAAAAAAATAGAAAGGGGCAATGTGACTCTAGTCCATTTATATTTTTACAAAGAATTATAGACTCTGATGCAGGTTTTCCCAAAAGCCATGCATATGACAGTAGATAGATGTTTTCTTGTCCTCAGTGCATGGAATTTCCAGGTTATCTACACTGATTATTTTGAAGAAAAAGTTACGTTGTTCCCTTAAAAGGTAGTTTTCTTGACCCTTTGGGGTGACTGCAACAAGTTATGGCTTGTGCTTAAGAATGTGTCAGCACTGCTCAAGCACTGTAGACCCACCATTCAGATCAGCATCCAACGCCATATCCAACACACTGGCTTTCCAGCAGAGATAGTTTCCAGATTCAGTTCACAAATTCTTAAGCATGACTTTTTGCCATGGAAAACTCCAATAATTGCTCCTTTGGTCATCTTTCCCCAGTGGTGGCTGTGGGATTGTTGATGCTCTAACAGATGATTCTGACCTCTTTGAAGGAAGACCATGGTAGAAGTTGTAACAAATAAATAAGGAGCAATTGATGTGCATTGCTGCGAAAATTGCTGGATTAGTTCAGGAGACACCTGCCTTCATTTTGCAACTTAGTCTGATAGACTTACATCACCTTTCTGCACTTCATGCTTACTACAAGGTGCTATATCTTTCCCAATGTGCTGGCCAACAGATGTTTTGATGGGCAGCTTTCACCATCCAGCTGGGTCAGATGAGATTTGTATTCCAAAATGACTGGAGTGCACTAAATTGGGGAAGTAGCCTGAGATATTTCACATGTTTATTAGTTGCTCACTTGTCCTGATGGTAAGGATCCTAATTGACCCATGTTCCCCACAAGTGGACCTCATTGGTAGGCTGAGCACTCATGTTTCGTGACTGGCAGGGCTTAGATCAACCTGGTGAATACAGTCAGAATATGAACATTGGCCTAAACAGAAGTGCATTCCGTGCCATGAGGACCACCTTCTGTCTTTTGTCAAAAGAGACTTTTGTCACTCTTGTGCCAAAATAGGAGAGACTGTGGCTGAGTCTCTGTGTTTTACTTCAGTCAACTAGAGGGAAATCTACAAGAAGGTATGTATTGTATATCACACAAGAGGAGTTACACTCTGTGCTATTTTGGGCTTCATTTGTGGCACGCTTTCCATAAAGGTTGGCATTCAAAGCTGAAACTGATACATTTGCTGATACACTGAAGGAGAGGTGGTCATACAGAAGGCTTGCAGCATCTAATATGTGCTTTTACTTGAATACTGAGATCCATCAAGCAAAGTCTGGTGAAAGAGACATGTGTAGTTGGAATTAAAGTAATCTGAGCCCAGAAATTCATTTTGAGTGGAAGAACTGAATGGTGCACTCCATTCTTCCACATAAAACCCCACTCCTGCTTACCCTAAGTTTAGTACAAACCATCCAGAGATCAGTCATTAGGTTGATATATACCTTCTTCACATACCTGCCCTAGAATTGATCCATTAGGGCCAATATGGCATAATTGTTAGACTCTGGAATTAAAGCAGGGAGACCCCTCCTGTCCATGTGTCCTTGAGCCCATCACTGCTTTTCAGCTCAGTCTTTCTCACAGGTTTGTTGTGTGAAAAAACGGTGTGGGGAGAATGCACACTCACCAGAATTCTGGAGGGTAGCTAAAAATCTGATTGTTAGATAAAACAATTCCCATCCAGAGGAGGGTGGCATTAGCAACCATCAGGCTGGAGTGTTAAAGAAAATACATTCTTAAAAAGCTGGCATGAACAACTTCAAATTACAACACAACCCCCAATAATGTATCTTTTTCTTACTCTCCTAAAGGCAGATTAGTGCTTCTATGTGGTGAAATGCATTCCTGGCTTAGCCCCAGAAGATAGTTAGATTTCTTGGAAGCACTGCTTTGGAGGCTTAGGTAAAATTGCAAGGGATCTGGCCAGGGCAACTTCTTTTGTATTGTTATTTATTTTATATTGTTAATTTTATATTGTTATTTTTGTATTTTATTGTATTTTATTTGTGCTGTGAGCTGCCCCGAGGCTTCGGCAAGGGGCGGCATAGAAATGTTTTAATAAATAAATAAATCTGAGGGGCACTTCAGTGGAAAAGAGCCTTGTCTTCCAGAGAAGTGCAAGCAGGACTGAGCTCACCATTGTTTATCTATTCACTTTTCAGCATCCAACGCCGATCTTGACTATGGAGATGTCTCCAAAACAGGTATTCACAATTAGCCATTTTCATGTTTGCATGTTGCTTGTGTTCCAACTAGTTCATGCAACTACTGGTTCGAGCCTTTTAAAACAAACAAACAAACAAACAAACAAACAAACATCTATCAGCATCTCATTTGTTCTATTGTTCTATTTCTTTCTTTTTATTATTTCTTGTTATGTTTGCAAACCATAACACCCCAGCTCATCTTCCCTGAATATTTGTAGCCTAACCACTCCTGTTACCACTCCTTTTCACTCTACGTGTACTTTTCCACATTATTATATGTACATATTATTAAACATAGAAAGAGCAAGAGAAGGCTGGGGAATTGGATGGTTTGTGGAAATAGAAAAGGGAAACTGAAGCAGAAGTGGTCATGAGGTTACATTAGCTCTTTTCCATTATGGACAGCAGTCCTAATCCAGAATGCATTATTTACACTGATGTACCAATGAAATTGCTAGTGATTTTGTAGCCTGCACCTTTACATGTTTTCTCAGGTGTAAGTTGCATTTGTTCCGAACATCCTCATAATCTGCTTAAAGATAAAAGCTTGAGCAGAATGACTACAACTAATGTCCTTTAAAATGGGATTGCCATTTGATCAGAACATATCCTAGTCAGTGTTAATAGAATTCAAGGTATTACTGGTATTTCTCTGCCTCATGCACAGAATTTCATAGGACATCCAGACCTCACCATTTTCAACTTGTAACTGCCCTGTGTTTTGCCCCTGCCTGTTTCATCCTTTTTTTCTATTCCTCAAAAGATCCATTAAGGAAATAAAATAAATACAAAGATGGTTTGGTGCAGGTGGATATGCTGCTCGTAGAACCCTCTAACTGCAAACAGCATCAGTCACAGACCTGATCTGAACGCAACTTGCTCTGTGGCTGGTTTTGTAGCCTGCACCAAAGCCCATCTCTCTCTATAAAAGGGCAGATAATTATCAAACGCATTCCTGGTGGAGCTTTGTAAAAGTCTGAACTTGCCTGTGTTACTTACAAGTTAGCCTGGTGCCCTCCAGTTGATTTGGACTACAGTTCCTATTAATCCCTGACCAATGGCCGTTCTGGCTAGGGCTAAAGGGATTAACAGTCTAAAACAAAAGGCACTAGATTGTGAATATGGCTCACATATCAATATATTGTGAATTTTAATAGCTATGTGTAACTTTGCTCTGATTTTCGAAATTTAGTTTTCACTATGTTACTCAGCCTGGATTTTTCAGAAAGGGCTATATGCAAAGTAAATAACCCAGCAATAAAATGCAATGCCGTGCTCTGAAACAGTCTTTACAGCACAGATCGAAACCTGCTGGAAAAAAGGAAGAATTGCGATCTGTGGCCGACTACTGTAGGAAAGTGTTGCTGAAATGGACCACTTAATGAACCCTGTTTAGAAAGAAGCCTGGACAGAATACACAGGGAAACAACTTTTCCTAGGCTTTGTTCATTAACCATTGGTCCATATATTGCATTTACCACAGAAATGCTTAGGCGTCTCTGTAATAACAGAAGATGTTAATGAAAAATGCAATGGAAGAACGTTCCTAATTCATTTGCCTTGCCTGATTTTTAGCAACAATTGTACATTGGTTCCAGAGATGGATTGGCTCAGCTCTCACTGCACAGATGCCACACGTATGGGAAGGCTTGCGCTGACTGTTGCCTTGCCAGAGACCCATACTGTGCCTGGGATGGAAGTTCATGTTCCCGGTACACACCAACCTCAAAAAGGTGAGGAAACACATGCCAGCCAGCTTTGCCTCACCATTCCCTGAGAATCTCAAAGCAGGTTCTTGCATGACTCCTGTAGCCCGGGCTTCTTCCTCCTGCACTGCAAGAATGACATGAGAAGCTCTGGCTGTAAGGAAGGATGTGGCTGGTATTCGCAATGTAAAGTGCTGGCCATTTACCAGAACCCAAACACCTTTGAGGATCCCTCTCCTCCAGATTTGTGGTGTAGACCTTGTATACATGATGACATGTGCCAAGATTAGCATTAGCCGTTTCTTGAACACCAGTGGAAGAAATCTTTGAAAAACTATAGGAAGCTTAGTGACTTTTTGCACTTGATGGCACTCAGGATCAAAGCAGACATAATATTAGAAATCCATGATAGTCTTTCTTGCTTTGCCTGAAAGTAGCTGTGTTAGAGTAGGAAACTGGAAAGCTGGAAAGGGTGCTTTTCCCCATGCCATGTTGCCGGCCAAAATGCTCCTGCTGCTCTTAGCCGCAGGAGACCTGCAGGAGAGAGAGGGCACCTGCCTTTACTCTGTCCCTCAGTGCCACAGCCATAAGCTATCCCCACTTAGCAGAAGCTGTATCTTCCATAGCACATCTGCTTTGGTTCAGCCCAATGAGTGGCAGTATTTTCCGTTTGCCTTGGTATCAGGAATATAGAAACATAGAATCAGCACAAGTCAGAAGGGGCCACCTGGGCCATCTAGTTTGACCCCCGATTCCCACCAGCTCTGCTCATAAAATACCTTTAATATGAAAGTACTATCTTGACTGTAAGCTCTGTGAAGGTTCATTCATGTATTCAAGCTGCTTCCTGATGTTGCATTTAGTGAATGAGGAACATGCAAAGGGGAACCAGCTCTGACCTACATCCAAAGTTAGGTGAACAGTAGGCATAACAGTAGGCATCAAAAGTCATGTCAACCATTCTGCTCTTTTTCTAGACGTGCAAGGAGGCAAGATGTAAAATATGGAGATCCAGTCACCCAGTGCTGGGACATTGAAGATAGTAAGTATATACTGTATTTCTATCCCTGTATCCGGAAAAACAGGTGGAGTGCATAGTGATAGAGGCAGTCTTTAGCTCTTGCAAGTCAAAGATTCTGGTGGAATGAAAGTAATAAGAGCCTTAATAATAACATAAAGTGGTGAGTTTATCTTTTAAAAGAGTAAGTCTCATGCTCAGTTTTGCTAGAAGTGCAATCTGACTATAATAAGGCTGTGATGAACGAATCATTCTGTATATGCTTAGAGATGCTTTAAACTATCTCTCATCAGAATTGGATGAAATGTATAGGGATCGTTGCTCCTTCTGAGGGGATTGCATCTGCCTTGTTTTAGAAGAATAGTTCAGGAAATTTTGTGCAACAGCAACATTTACATATTGAAGATATTCTCAAAAGGATATGCTTCCCCCCTATGTTCTCCCCCCCCCCCATGTTCCCCCCTGTCATTCTTCTGGAAATGACAAAGGTGTCATTTAAGTCAGTGTCTCTAAGGTGTCTCTAAGTCAGAAGAACAGGTGCATCCCCCCCTTATGTGAAAGGGGGGTGCTCAGACTGGGAGTGGGGGGATGAGTGATATGTTCTGTTTACCCACCCCTGGGGTATTTTCTGTGAAGACAGCATATATCATATCCCCATGTAAGAAAGCTGCAAAGTTTCAGAGGGACAGGTGCAGGGGCTAGTGATTTCTGGTAAGTGAAAATGAGCGTGAAGTTGGTTAAATCTCCCCCACACAAACACACACCAATAATTATTTAGCAAAAGCAAAGCTGGCAGTGCTGTGTTTGGAGTTGGCCCTCCAAAGCCTGAATACAGAACAAAATGTGAGGTTGGACTTTGGTTCTGGTTGCTTCAGAAGGAAGCCAGTTTGCCTTGGCAAGCACCAGAAATTCATTCCATTCCTATTTGAAATAGAAAATATGTGTAAGGGTGTAAAATCTGTGGAAGCAACTTGGGGCTAAAATGCCAAACACAGATACAATTGGTAGTGTTACTCTTCCTGCTAAATACCCAAAGTAACAATTAACTACTGGAGCCATTCAGGAGACACAAAGATAGAACAATTCTACAAGAATCCTATGTGGGAACAAATCAATCTGTGTAAGTATTATCACTGAATGTGAGGAGCATCCTGGAACTTTCCAGACTCACAAAGGAGGACTGCTTAGACAAGAGAGCCAAGTAAGCAGAGCTCCCTTGAGGAAAAATCAGGAAACACACTCTTTGCATTCCCTTGGCATATTTCCACATAGCAACTCTCCAACAAAGATCCAGAATCTTCGTTCCAGCTATCAAGCTATCCAACTTGTCGTCTAATTCTTCCCTGCTAATTAAACAATCTCCCCCTTAACAACAGCTTACTGTCTCCCACAAACATAGCTTTCCACAAGCTTGCCAAACTGTCTGGCTCACTCCCCTGGCAACTGGTATGGCTCTCTTGAAATATGCATGATCTATATTCACTCTTGTGGTTACACTGAAATTGCTGTGACAATGTAACATAAAATTTAAAATGTTTTCATTTCTTAAAGTGGGGGCCACTCACTGAAGCAAAATTATTGTGTTTGCATTTCTTTTAATATCTGATCCTACCTGCTGTCCATTGTTCTTTGATTATTGTCACAGAGCCTTGCCATATACAAAAATAATGGTTCCCCCCCTCCACTCAATTTTACCTTGGGCTGAAGGCACATATTGAAGCTAAGCAGGTGCTGCTCTAAGTTACCTGGATGGGAGACAGCTAGGAAACATATTGTTATGTCTCTCCTCCCTTCCCCAAGTGGGGGGATATTCCAGAGGCAAAGCATTTACCTGGCTTTGGTTTCCTTTGAAAGGTGATTACAGTGATATTTAATTTATTTTGCACACATGTGCACTCAGGGAAGGTTGAAGAACAGCTGCAATACTCCACGGGACAGGCAAGTCCATCTGCTGCACCCACACATTAGTTCTCCTCACTTAACTACCGGGCACCCTTAAGACTGCCCTCACTTATAGGGGCAGTAGAAAGTTTCTCTAGGGATTGGGCTCCAGCCCTTTGCAGATGTGCTTTAAGAAGAGATGAGGACCAATTCTCTGTCACACTAGGAGGTGGAAGATGCTGCTAAGCTGCCAAGGGCATGGCCATCCAGTGGCATAGATGGGGAGAACTAGGAAGAGCAGCAGTGCCAAAGACAAGGCCACCCAGTTGCAGCCTGATCTCTCCACTGGAAACCAAGTAAGACCCTCAGAAACTGTGAGAGTGCAAACTCCAAGCAAAGAGGTGAAGGGAATCAGAGATGGAGGACTTCAGATGAAAAGAGGCCTTAAGACAGCATTCTAAGGGAAGCCACTGAAGCTACCTCATGGAGAGATCCCTGGTTAATCAGGGAGAGTTGCCTGTTCTACTTAAAACAGGAGAGTTGTAGCAATCAGACTGGGGTTCCTCGCTTCTTTCTTTCATGATGCTTTAGCTTGGGTAACTCAGGAGAACTTGGTGATCCTGCATTAGGCCAGGCTTGCATAGCTCTTTTTCCTCTAGTGACTGAGTGAAACTGTGGTTTGTTGCCTGGAGCAATGATTGCTTGTCTATAACTCCTGTGCTATAAAGCTACTTGACTGGAATGAGGACTTTCCAGCTAGACCTCAGAGATACCCAGAAGCACCAGGTTCTGCTTTCATATAACTTGAGCAGAGAGGTCTTTCTATACCTTCCAAGCTGGGGCTGACTTTTGGCATCTAAAACAAAACAAAATATTGAGGCAAGTTTGAAGATTCCTCTTTGGACCAAAAGACTGGAAGATTTCAAAGGAAGCAAAACCAAAAAGCAAACAAAGAAAAAATTAGTTTCAGTAAGACCAGTGAAATGTTTAGAGAACTTCCTCACAAGTTGTCTTAGTGGTGGTCAGGACATATTTAAAGCCAAGAAGATGTGATATCTCCAGCAGGCTTTCTAGCTGGCTCCATGAACTCTCTTTTAGTAGCCAGGGGTATAACTATATTGTATTCTTTCTGGCACCAGGTAATTTCCCCAGGAATTTTAGTTTCAGGCTGTTTTACATTCTCTATTGTATTTGAATTTGTTATACTGCTGCTGGTCCTTACTCTTGTTCTCACTTTTCTTTCATATTGCAGTTTTAACCATATCATTTTCTGTACTGTATTTTATGGTTTAAATTGTCGTGAACTCCTAGAAAACTTTGGCTATTGAGAGGTACGAGTATAAACATATGATAAATGAATGAATACAATGTATTTTCACCGTCCCTAAATTCATTATATGTAAGAGAAGAATTCCTTTTAACAAAGAATATAAGCCATTTTCTTATTCCATGGGTGAGCTAAATGAAAGGAAGTGGCCAATTCAGACATCAATAGCATTGTTGTTATGGATGGCTTACACCAGATTGAACCTTGGTGCATGAGGTGCCTTTGTTTTGCTTAACAGTTTCTGTGCTCCTGTAGCATCTGTTCTGTATCAGGCATCTTTTCCCATTGCTTAAAGAAACCAGGGCAAGGTTAATCTTTTGTACCATGTTTGCTTTCCAGGCATTAGTCATGAAACCACCGATGAAAAGGTGATTTTTGGCATTGAGTTCAATTCAACATTCCTGGAGTGTATTCCAAAGTCCCAGCAAGCTTCCATTAGGTGGTTTATTCAGCGCTCTGGAGAAGAGCACCGAGAAGAGGTAAGTTGCAGTTACTAAGTGTGACTTTCCCTTTGGAGAACCTATAATTCCATGGTCAAAGGCAAGGTTAATAGAATTAGCAAAGATTATATTTTCCTTGTTTCAGCTTATATATTTAGCAATGCCCTGGTAATATCTAAATGAAGTATGGAGGCCAAGAGAACAATCCCTGGGCGATCAGTGGTCTTCCTTCTAATATTACATGCAATGTTTTGGACATTTACACGCTGTTAATGTATACATGCTGGAATTCATTCATCCGAACTACATACTACGCTCATCACTTGAAATGTAACCATGTGTAAGCCAGGCTCAGATGAGTAAGAGTTCTGAATGTTTCCCTGGAGACAAACCAAGAAGGCCAGGGAGTGGTTCACCATCTTCTCCTCCCACAGTCTGTCTCCATTTATTTACTCTCTACTTTTGCAACAGATTTTTCCTAGAAGTCGAGAGAGGGAGATGCACACACAGTTGGCTGCTGAAGAGAGGCAAGAAGGGCACTGGGGGAAAGTAAAAACCTCAAGAAGGTCAGGAACTCAAGCATTCACTGCTTGTCTGCAGGGGAGCTTTCAGATATCTCAGTGATGAGAACCTGACCCACACGTGCCTACTTTTACAGGATGGGCGTATTGTGCAGTCCACTTCATCACAAAAGCATTAATCAAGTAATTTAAGGACTGGGTGACCACAAATCCATGCCACCCTTTTGCCATCAATCCTTGGCTAATAAAGCCGTGTGAATCTGGGAAAATTCTTACCCTGCTTTTGGGAAATGTTCACAGTCAGATTTCAGTGAACCTTCAAGGCAAAGGAAATGTTGCATTTGAGAGATAACCACCATCTTCCCATCCTTTTGCATCACACAGGGCTGTTATTAGATTTGAGCCCCTCAGGTTCTGATCCAGAATCTGTTTCCCAGGTCTGTTGGTGCCAGTGGGAGGGTTGTTTTTTTCCTCAGCTTCGTTGTCCAACAGAGGATGATTTTCAAGGGGGATTACAGTTCAGGATGCACAAAGCTCAAAACTTTATGATGTTGTTCCTCATTGATCACTTAACTGAGAGCTAATCCCTAGAACATTGTAAGCCGCCCCGAGGCTTTGGCGAATGGGGCGGCATAAAAATGTTTTAATAAATAAAATAAATAAAATGTTTCACCTGGACCTTGTTTCAGCTGAGTTATGATCAGGGCAGTTATTATCCTTATCAAGCAGGCCTCAGTTCTGCAGCTTGTTCCTTAACTGGGGTTGGGCCCACCACTGAAAAGGCCCTTCTCCTTGTTGCCACCAGCTGAGCCTCCCTCAGAGATGAGAATCAGATGTAAATCCCAATTCTTGATCATAGTGTGGGGTAGTTTGTGGTTGGGAGAGGTGATACAGTCATTGCAGTATCAAGCCATGGTGGTCCCAGGCCAGTTCACACATTTTAGGCTAAACATGGCCCCACTTGCAATCTGCAGTCAAAGTCCAAATATCTCCAAGTTTACAATTGATATGTGGACTGAAAGAAAAATTTGACAGCATGCACACATTTCAAAATTAGGGTAACGTGTACAATTGATGCACAAAGAAATGCACACAGATTTCCATGAAAAGAGAAGGGAAGGGACGGGACGGGACGGGAAGGGGCGGGAAGTTTGCAATCTTTTATGGGCTCAAGCTGCACCAAACTTCAAGATGGAATTTAGTGAAGGCTGAGAAACCAATTTTTCTGACTTTTACATCTCCAGTTCTGTCTTCTATCTGTTGGTTTACTTTAAAAAAAACTTATATCCTGCCTTAATTTTTTAAAAGCTACTCTTCCATAAGCGGGGGTCCTCCAGATATGTTGGACTACAACCACTATCATTTCCAGTATGTGCGGTCAACCCACCCTAACCTCTTCCCCACCACTGAGCGTTTTGCTCTGGTGGGTGCAAACTGTGGTGGTTCTCAAAAATGTGTTTGAAACTAAAGTTGGCCACAAAGCTCACGGGCTCATCTTAAGCCAATAACTGAGCCTTACCTTACTCTACTTTGCAGGGTGGTTGTGGCTATGAAACAGGAAGAATATCGTGTACATCCTTAGAGAAAGAATGGATAACCATGGGATAGGGAATTAAATTGCCTTTAAAAGTAAAGTGTGTATGTATATGATCACAAACTGCTTCCAAAATATTTCTATTTTCTGTGCTCATATATGTTGTGGGTTGATTCTAATACTCCTTTTAGGAAATCTGTGTATGGAAATCAACATGGAATTCCCTAGTCTGGTACAAAAATGTCGCATTGGAGTACAGGAGAAGTTTTACATGTAGCTTACCCCTATCTAATTTATCTTTTGTCCCACCTTTCCACCATTTTTAAAAATACTACCCACTCTTGGCTCAATCACTAATCTGTCTCATGCAGCCATGGTTTGTTCTATTTGTGTGCAACTGTTTAGCCATCTTCACCTCCTTTCTTTGTTTTATCTTCCTCCAAGATGCTGTACTTGAGATACATGGTTAAAAGTAATAGCTGCAGCCTCTGAGCAGCTCTTTGAGCATCACTCCAGAAATAGAGGGGTCTGTACGGCTCGTTGTGACATGCAAGGCAGTTTCCTGAGGGGAAGGAAAGGGCAAAATCCAGATTAGGTTAACAGGCATTTCGCCCAGCAGGATGCCTCCCGCGTGTCACCTTTGAGGTCATGCTTTGGAATCCCTCTTCCAGGCAGAGCAGGGTGTGGGAAGGGAACAGGATCTCCGGTGCTATGGGAGCTGTCACCAGGTCATTCTGTTGCCGGTGGGAGAAGAACTCCCTGCAGTTTGAAGCTTTTTTGCAAGGGTCACAAGTCAATTGCCCGGCAATCTCGTTTTAGCATTGTGCACGCAAACTGGCGTGTTTGTTCCTGTGTTTTGAGAGTTCATCACTGGCTTATTTCAGGAACTGCGCATTGGCGTGTGCATGCATGTGAGGGAATGATTGAAAGAGAAGTGGGGGGATTAGTCACACCCTTTACATCATTTGTTCGTGAAACTTTAATGTGCTGAACCATCCCACATCCGATGCTCTCTGTTTATGTGTTCCTCATAATTCCCCTGTACGATGTCACATGCATGATAGGCATTGAGACTGGAAGAAACTCAGATGGTTCTGCTCAAATCCTAGCAGGAGCCTCTTATAACTTGTAAAAAAATATTAAACCCCTTGTGTTCAGTTGGCCCCAACCCAGAGTCCACTGAGCTACAGCCTTGCCAGACTGCCATGTACATTTCCAGGGGATGTAACAAGCCATTTACTTGAAATGACAGCTCATGAGTTCCTGCATTTTCCTCCCTTCCTCTGTGCGTATCTTCCAGCAGATGAAAGTGAGTTGGAACACATTTTTCAGCTGCTCCACCAGTAATCAGCTAATTTTTCATTTGCCCTTGAGTTCAGTACTACTGTTACTAAACATTTATTATGATTCACTGCTGAGAAAAATCACATGATGAAAGATTTTTCTTAATAGGGCTTACTTTACTTCCCTTCCTTTTCTTTCCCTTCCTTTTCTTTCCCTTCCTTTCCTTTTTCACAAACACACGCGCGCGCACACACATTTCAGCATTCATTTTTGTGGCAGCAGCCTCCATTTTGCACTGGTGACATTTGAAGTATATGTTTAATAAAAGCTTCCTGGGTTTTGCTTGAGTAAATAATTGTTTATGCAGCATCTTATTTATAAGTGCCTTGAATCAAAGCACAGTTAGATTTTTTAATACTCATAATTCCCATGCCAAAAATGACTGTAATTCCTTTAGATAAGTATTTCATTCTCTTGCCCATTACCTAGTTGGAGTTGGGCCTATCTGTACTGTTAACCACAGTTCTGCAGGTCTCTCACCAAACTAAAAGCTATTTTGGACAAAGAAACAATGAAACTGTTCCCTTTGAAAATGCAAAACTCAAGTTATTCAAAGCAGTACACTAACTGAACTCACGGATATAAATACAAACATGTTATTTTGCACATCACTGAAGCTACAGATTAATTTTAGGCATGCAGAACATATAGAATCTGGATACAGAATCAGTAAAAACCACCAAATGGCAGAAATACTCTATCAAAAAAGAATGCTGCATCTCAGGAAGAGTTCTGTGTTACTGTACACATTGTTTAACTGTATTAAGGATTAGTAACCATAGAGCAATAATAACAAGAGCTAGTTTGGCATAATGCCCAAGAAGCTTTGAGCTGTGAATTGGGGAGTTCCTGATTTAAATATTGCCTATTTTATGCCACAGTGCCATTAGGTTGCCTTTGGCAAGCCATCCCCTTTTGAACCTCAGCATTTCTCCTTGCATGCATAATACAGTTCAGGGTTCTGTAATTTTATTTATTTATTTATTGGATTTATTTGAAAGCCACCTGTTAGCATCATGCTTTCTGGGAGGCCATTATAATAAAAATACCAATATTAACATTGGAAAAAATACAATACAATCATGGTAAATAAACAGGATAAAATCATGATAAGCAAAGCCAAGTAAAAGTCAATATAAATTTCTATATTAAAACCATTGCAATTAATAGATGGACTAAGTGGTGCTATAGACACACTGAAATAGAAAAGTTTTTGTTAGATACCTAAAGCTCAGCAAGGTTGATGCCAAATCTATGATCTAAGCTTTATATATGTTTTCGGTAGGAGGGTTTAGCTGTGAGCTGTATATGTAAAAAGCACAAAGAATAAGAAAAAACATTTTCTGATTCTAGAAAGTGCACACTGAGTTGATTACTTTTCAAATGTGGACTTCATAAGATCCTGAATTTACCCTAATCACGAAGCATTCTTTTATCATCACTGTGAAGGTAGCTGTATGGGACCAAGTCTTGGGACTCCATAGCATAAGTTGATCATAACCAGAATTGCTTAAGAGATTAAAGCCAACAGCATTGGCCAAGAGAGCATTATTGATTTGCTCCAGCAAAAGTACTTTTTCAGTTGTTGCTTCTGCACAACCTTTAAGATCTCTCTGCTGTCCCTCACCACCTTCATCCTT